GCCACTGCACTCCAGTCTGGGTGACAGAGCGAGACTCCAACTCAAAAAAAAAAAAAGAATGCCATGCTGGATTTAGAGTCGATCATACTCAGGGATCTATCACAGAAACAAAGAACAGAGTACCATATGTCCTCACTCATAAGCGGACCTTGAACAATTATAATACTATAATTAAGGGACTGACGGTAGTGGCAAACTTCCAGGGTAGGGGGAGTGGGATTGGCAGGTGAGGGAAACTGCTAGGAAAGGGAGGGCACACCTCATCCACAAGGGTGCCTGCATAGTCAACGTTTGTACACCTAACCCTAAATTGTACCCCACATCTTTAAAATAATAAATAAATAAAAGAAGCCCATGCCCGGCAAGGACAGTGCCTGGCCCGTGCCTCATTCAACCGCCAGGTCATGTGGGTCCTGGAGAACTCTCACTGGTAGCCTGGTCTGAGGAGCTCCCAGGCCTTCAGGCCCCACCCTGGGTGTCTTGAAGAGGGGACCTGGCAGAAGCTAGAGCAGGATCCCTGGTCCACGCAGCCAGGTCCTCAGGCTTGGGAACACCCTTTGGCCCAAACCAGGAGAGGAGCCACAGCCACGTCGGGGGAAGGAAGGCACTTTTCCTGGTCCTGGGAAGGGGCCTATTCGAGCAGGTGCCAGGAAAAAGCGTGTGGAGCTGCTTATCTCAGCTGTCATAGAGTCAAAGTTAGAAGGTCTTGCGAGCCAGCACGGGGGACCCAAGCAAGGCCTGCGCCAGGGCGGGCAGTGAACCAGAATCAGGCCTGGACCAGGCTCAGCAACAAGGCCTTGCATTCCTCAGACTGTGGCCCCAGACCCCTGGGAGAGAATCACCGGGACCCTGTTCGGTGCAGATGTGCAGTCCACCCCCGAAGCCTGAGGAGCCAGGTGGTGGCCATCTGGCCCAGGAGTCTACATCTTTGGCAAACCCCCCCCAGTGGATGCTGTTGCACACTGGAGTTTGAGAACCACTGGGTGGGTGGAAGGCCTCGCTGGTTTCTGCCTGGAAGTGGCTGATGCTTAAGGCTCCTGCAGAGCCGGTCTTCTTCCCAGCTGACTTGTCACCATGGTGCTGGGTATGGGGGCTCTGTGGGCTGTCCGGGAGCTAGAGCAACAAGCATCCTGGGCAGAGAGGAGCAAGGAGATGTCCTCCACACCTGGCTTTGGGTGGTTGACATCTCCCACTACCCTCTGTTAAGTCCCTGAGATTCTTGGCCAATTCAGAGGAAGCTGGCCTCCAGTCGGGAGGGAGGAGACCTTCATCTTTCTCTGACTGATATGTGGGGGACTCGCATGATTTGAAAAAGAGGGTTATGATGGAGTGTGTCCCTGAGCCTGTAG